GCTTTGTTTCAGTATCCTGCTATTCCTTCCTCAATATTTTCCCTCATTCTCAATAGTGTAATTTTAATTATCATGTGCTTTCTTCTGGGTGTGTTTTCTTGAAATGGCTGTTGTTTTCATGGATATCTGGGTCTGTATATGTGTATGTGTATTCCATACTTAGGTGTTGCATGTTGGATTTTGGATGTCTTGTAGTTCCAGATAGATAATGATGCTTTAATCTCCTTCACTTGCAGAATCATGGGAATCCAACTAGTCACAAGCCTGAGCTAGTCTTGAATAACTTCACAACACGCTTGGGACATCGTATCGGGAGGTGACTTCTTGTTTCATATGTGATTTTTTCAAGAGAGTTACAGGAAATTGGATGTGTGTTTAAAACATTGATTATATTTAGTGTGGTGGCACAGTTAATTTATGTTGTTTTCTCTGGATTTGCACAGATCATCTCTCTCTCTCTCTCTCTCGCCTGTATGTTTTTGTGAATGTCTTGTACTCTTAAACCTAGAATATTTATGAAGTATTTTGCTAGATAATTTCTGTCTCGTGCACTTTAAGATCTCTCTCTCTCTCTCTCTCTCTCTCTCTCTCTCTCTCTCTCCTGTATGTGTTTGTGAATGTCATGTACTCTTAAACCTAGAATATTTATGAAGTATTTTGCTAGATAATTTCTGTCTCGTGCACTTTCGGATCTATATTTTTGTTTATGACTCTTTCTATGCATTATTTTGGTTAATAGGTTGATACAATCGCTTTTCCCACAAGATCCTAATTTTCGTGGTCGTCGAGTTGTAACGTTTCACAATCAACGTGATTTTGTATTCTTTCGCCATCACCGGTGTGTGTTCTTTCTTTTAAGGAGTTTGTTCTATTCCACATATTGATCTTAGACTTGTAATAAAGCTTTGTGATGGCAACCTTATTTTTTGAATGTGAAGTTACATTTTTGAAACCAAAGAAAGTAAGCAGGCTGCATCCAGTGGCAAAAAAAGCAAGGATAATAACGATGAGAAAAGCGAGCAGAAACTTATTGCACGACTTCAGGTTTGTGTTTCTGATTTAGTTCATTCTTGTCTTGAGATGTATTTTCTTTCTTTTGTGCTAAGTACTTCTAGCATATTTAGAATTCAAGAATAAGTTTTAGTTTTGTTAAAAATGCTATTTGTCCTAATCCCAAGATAAGGGGAATTAATTTGTTGCTGTTTTGAGGAGACTAAGCCTTAAAATGGCAATTAGTAATGCACTTGGATCCGCACAAATTTGCCTGCAAGGAACTCTATAGTAAGTTTGAATCTTCCCATGAATGGCCTTGTCCTCGTATTTGGCATCTGCAGCACCCTTAGTTTCGGTATATGAAGATGCACATCATACAGGCCATGTTTTGACCGGAATGTCTATTGTTAACTGGTAATTGAGTCAATGCCAGTCATACATGTTTCTTTGGGTTAACTGGTTAAGGAATGGAGAAAACCCCTCTCGACACTTCTATAGCCCCTGATGATATTCCTGTCATACAGGTCTTTTATGCTTTAGCATTTTTCGTCTTTCTTTTTAATTGCTGTTTATACAGATGGCCAATTCTTTTCATGCTTTACGGTAGTTCTTTTTAAGGTTTGGAATCGATTTAGTGGCTGAAAAAACTCACATTCATATTATCCACTTAAAAAATGTAGAGAAGGATAAGAAACAAGGGGCAAAAAAATGCAACACAAGAAAGGAAATAGCTATATGAGTCAGAATATGAATTAGAAACTTTACCTAGTAAAGCTGAAACTACACCAAGAACTTGGCTTCTAGCTGGTCTGGTAAGTGTGTGTGCTATAGAGATCTGAACATTCATGAACAATGCTTAAAATTTCCTTCCAGTTTGTTTTAACTGTTCATCAAAGAAATATTTATTACTACAAAACAACAACACATAAAAGGCAAAACAGAAGCGGAGAAAGAGACTATTGGTAATCTGTTCGTTTGACTTTCATATGTTATCTGTTTTTTCCACCTATTGATTTTCTTATTGCAAGAGAACTCTCCTTGTGAAGTCGAATACTTTGAAGATATGAAGTATATATAGTATGAAGAGGGCAGAAAGCAAAGTTTGAGTCTGTGTAATGATGCAAAACTGTCACTTCCCTTGCTGGGAGGGAGTTGATATGGAATTACATACGTGTTTTAAATTGATCTAAGTTTCTTATGACATCAAAAATCTTTTTGAGGAAAATTTCATGATTTCTTGTCTATGAGCTTGAAAACCTATGGACAGTGATGAGTTTTTTCTCATTACCAAAAGGAGAAAAAAAAAGTGACGAGTTTTCCAAAAAGATAAAGCTGTTTGAATGATGCTATTCAACTTCTTTTAATGAGAGTTAATGAGATGGAGCTTGATGCTATTGTTTTCTTATTCAGATGTCTGCATTTGCCTCCAAATGCCAGCTTTTTAGGGTAGTTAATCGGCAAACTTTGCAAAAAAACAAAAAGTGGATAGTTGTGCCTGACTATTTTAAGTTTATTATTATATGTGTTTGCCATTGAAGTTTTTAGGAAAAAAGTTTTACAGCTGCCAGGTATTGTGTTAATGTTGATAGTCCTCATGTAGTTCACTTAATATATTCTCTGCCTATGATGCGTTTTGTAACATTAGATGGAAATCTTGCAGGAATGCGGTCCTCGTTTCACATTAAAGTTAATCAGTCTGCAACATGGAACATTTGATTCAAAGGGTGGGGAATATGAGTGGGTTCACAAGGTGATTCCCGCTTATTTTTTATTCTGCAATAATGCTTGATTTAGCTATAGGTCTTCATTACTTATACAGATATTTATCTTTTTTGCCTGCATTGAGCTAATTCATTTTTCTGCTCTGCTTTGTTTATCTTTTGAATACCAGCCGGAAATGGATACTAGTCGCAGAAGATTTTTCTTGTGAGAGAAATGTTGTCCTACTGGGTAAATAGGTTTTAGTTTCAGGTTAAGAACAAGTTAAAAGTGTAGCTTCCTGTGAGGATCTGTGAGCTTAGGTCTTATTAGATCTCCAGCTGAGGTTAGGTATGAGATATTGAGTTTACAAATTGTGTATCCACATTGGTTATTTATCAGCTCTAATGCAAGTTTTGGAGATTTTCAGCTTGGTGCTGGCAGTCCTTTTTGTCGTGTAGAAATGTTTTATCCTCCCCCCCCCCTACCCCCCCAACACCCACGTCTTCCAACAAAAAAAATCCCCCCTCGTGGGACAAGTAGGGGAAGCTTCGTAAAAGGGCTTGTTTAGGCAAAACCACGAGAAGGTTGGCTATTGTGACCGTGTCGATCTTTGAATGCATTGATTGTACTGATTTTAGTTAAATTCTATGTTTATCAGCTCCAACTCAAATGCTTGGAGATTTTGAGTTGGTCCAGGCAGTCTTGTTTGTTTTGGCCTTTTGGGTGGCTAGTGATTTTAGGCGTAGACTTGTTTTTTTATTTCTTTTGGACTGATAAGGAAATCTCGTGGTGGGGACTTGGTACATGAAACCATGGGAAGGCTGGCGAATAGAAATGGGTCAATTGCAGTGAAAAATTTGTCGTACTTCAACCGCAAATGAGTAGCTTTCTGTGTTTGAGCTGAAGTACTGAAGATTTATCTTGAGCTCTTACATGTGGTTGCTCAATTATTGGTTGAACTATCCATCATAAGTTGTTGGTTTTGATTGTCTTGGTAATATTTTTTTCACTTCATTAAAGGTTCTTTGCATGGAAACATAGAGGGCCTTTACAAACAAATCCTAGATGGAAACCACATTAAACTCGGGAAGAATAAAAAGGATGAAGCAAACTAACATCAGCAGTTCCTTATTCTGGGGCCTAAGTCTTGGCAACTAGATGACAGGGCTGTTATGATTAGTATTGTACTGCCAACCAAATTTTGGTTAATATTGCAAAAGAATTTAAGCATTCGTACCAACCCGGGTTCGGTCAAAAATAAAAAAGAATGGTAAAAAGATTTCTAAACGATCTAAAAGAAATTATTTAACAGGTTTAACAGCATGTGAATTAGGGGTGGGCGCGGGTTGGGTACCCGTCACATTCACCATTTGGCTGACTCGACTCGCACCTTGCGGGTCAACCATTTTCTGACCCTTACCTATCCCGAATATCAGCGGGTACCCTATAACGAGTACCCGCTGAGATAGGGTCGGATCAGCGAGTACCCGTCCCGCCCCATTTATCATTTAATTTTTTTAAAAAAAATGATTTATACTAATTTAATTTTATATTTTACACATTTATCTAAGATTTAATAATTTTTTTTTGCTAAAAAAAGGTTTCTCACCAAGAAACAAGCATATGAAGAGAATATAAGATAAAGGAAAAAAATTAAAAGAATTCAAAATCAATAAAAGTTTGAAATAAGTAGCACAATCTTTAATATATATGTTCCACATTAATTAAACTTTTTTCTATAAAATATAAGATCATGGCCTTTACAAATGAATCTTATAAATAAACTATAGTCTCTCATATTTGTAATGCAATTTGTTCAATAATTACTTATTTAGTTCTAACTTATTATTGTATAGTGTGTATATAAAAATAAAAATAAAAATAAAAAATATATATATGCGGGGCGAATCGGGTATCCGCGGGTTTTTAATTATGTAACCCTAACCCGCCCCGCATCTTAGCGGATACCCGACCCTCTTTTGACCCGATCAAACAATAAAAATCGGATATCCTAATTTTCGGATCGGATCGGATATAACGGGTTTTCGGGTTAGCGGATAATTTTGCCCACCTCTAATGTGAATCATAAAAAATAAATAGATGAAGTGAACAAATACTTGAACTCCATTTCGTTCAAAATTCTTTCCAACTAGACAAAGGGATTGAAGTGTAAATTATTTATTTCTTTTTATGTAGAAGACTTTTTAGTTTTTGAGATGCTTATAATCTTGTTACCAATTTGATCAATACAAGTGAAATATACAGTCAACCGGTAACATCTTACATACCTTGAAAACTTTCCAACATCTCAAATTTGTTCAATGGAATAGAAATCATGTTTACTTTATAGAGTTTTAGAAAGATACAAATGTTACATTATTTTAGATGTAAACAAATTTCCAAGGAGTATCAACATCTTAACTCTCCTATCCTATCTTTAAATTTCCACTTAGAAATCAGTTATTGCTTACTAAACTGAATGTAGCTAAGAAACTATTTACGTCAGAAGGGAAAAAATGAGAAAAGGAAGGCGGTGCAAAAGCATGACCAGACTCTGTAATTTTGTACATGGGTATGTTATTTAGTGTCCTTGTATAGCTTGGCAGTTGAGCTTAGGACGACAAAGAAGACTGGGATGGTGCAGCTGAAGCCTTGCAAATGGGACACCAATTCTTCAACCGTAACCACTGGTGTATGCATACCACGTGATAACCATGTTCACATCCCAGCTTCCCAATTTCATCACCTGCTACATACTCTTCCTGCAGAGTAGATGGTTTTCATCAATGTTTGAGTGTTCATGGAAAGAATTCAAGTATAACTAGCAAATCAGTTTCTCCAATTAGAGAAAATCATCCACCATAGGAACATATAGATGAGGTGTCAGAAATTCTGCAAGCATTCAAATAGGGCCTAATTCTAAACCAGGAAACTTGTAGCATTATCAAATTTGTTGCAAGCTACTAATGCATCATTGTTGGAACAAACGAGAATCATGCATCACAGAGTCAACTGGTTTCCCGCAGTTCCAATCTCAATAAATTATACATAATTTTGCACAAGCAAATTGATGCAGCTGAAACAAAAGGCTCATCATCATCATCAGCTAAGTTGAATTTGAAGCAAAACCGACTGAGGTTCAGCCAGAAGAGACACAGGCAAACATGCACACACATTTAAGTCTTCACAATAAACGTTCTCTTTATTCACCTTCGGCCTTCCTTTCTTTCTTCCTTTTTTTTTCAAGAGGAGGGGGGGGGGGGGGGGGGTGGGGGGGGGGGATGGGGGTTCTGCATACATCAGATTTATATTCTGGTCCGTTTTTTAGGGAATTCATTTTTCAAAAAAAAAAAAAAAAAGAGAGAGGAGAAGATAACCTATTTCCACTGGAGCTCTTTTAGAAATACTGGCCAACATTGCCAACTTAATCCAAGCTTACCTCAAAATCTCTCATCTAGGATGACCACTGATGGTAATTCTATGCTACAGTAAGGCTGCTTCTATCTTGAGGGCCAAAAACTTTTTTAACAGTAACTACTCAAAGCACATCCAAACAAAAGCATTATTGCAAGAGCATATATTTGGTAATGAGGACACCACCTGGCAAATACCGCATCTAATATCAGCTTCATCGTCACTACATCCAGCAGCCCCAACATCTGCCGTAGCAGTCTGGTATATGCATTTCGTGATGCATTTAGCAAATGCCTCTTCTGAGAGTGCTGTGCTCACAGTACCCATCCTCTCCTCTAAAGCAAGTAATTCCTGTCAAAAAGGAGTACAAAAACAGTCAAGAAGTACGAAAAGAGGGCATTGTACATCAGCGGCACCAATTTATAGCCGAGAAACAAATAAGAAAACTTTCGTGATTAACAAAAAATGCTGATTTAAAGGACAATTGTTATAAATTCAAGTTAGTACAATCTGGTTAGCCAGAAAAGGAATAAAAAGTAGTTAGAACAATATTGTACTTAGTGATTCCAATCTATTGCATCTTATGATAACCTACCTCATACGACATGTTATCAATGTCTAATCTCATATCTCTGTGCTGGTCGTAGAAGTTAAGGTGGCCAAGAAATAAATCGTTCTCCAAAGCAAGTAATTGCTGAGTCAAAATGGATAAGAAGTAAAGTCAACATACAAGTGCCAATCTGCACAAATCATAAAGTTGCCAAAGATTGAGTACCTCATACTCTTCATCTTGTCCAATTCTCTCAAGAGCTAGTAGTACCTGCGCCAGAATGAAATAATACAATTTACTAAAAATTGCCAAGGCAAGATCAAGAAAACAGAACTGGAGTATTGAGTTCTCTGTTAAGCACAAAAGAAACAAAGGAGTGTGCTTCTTCGGATGAACCAGGGAAGTACCTCAGCAACTCCATTCAGGTTACGTCGCCGCAAAGCATGAGTAATACCATGTTCTGTGGGCGTCAAGGACATTATACCAGTTCTCGCAGATAGTCTACAGGAGCTTGAAGCATTTGAAGAACCTTCCATGGAAGATTGATAAGATGCACTATTAGGAGTTTCAGGTCTAGATAATTGTGCAATACCGCTACTGGATTCACTGGTTAATAAAGCATTTCTGTTGTCAAGATTTGAAAGCCCAATCCTAGTATTTGAGTTCAATCCCTTCCGAGTCCTCAGAGGTGCAGTGCGAGAATCACTATTTGAAACCCAGCTTCTACCATGTCTTGAGCCAGTGACAGAGATTCCTGTATTGAAGGCGGAGACATGTCCATCTTCAGAACGAGCCATGCTACCTCTTCTTCCTGAAGAAGATGCACTACTTTGTGCTTCAGGACTTCTTTTTCTTAAAACATCCCTCTTAACCTTAGATTCTGAGGCTGAACCACCTCGTGGGATAACATCAGATATTGAGTTGCATCTTAAATTTCTTAAACCATACCGACTCCCATTGTAGTTCCTAGACCCTGAAGCCATGCTATTTGATGTAGAAATAACAGATGTAACAGAGGGACCAGGAAGAGGATTTTGACAGCCAGACGGAGGCTTGTGACGAAATACTATATGAGATTTATTACTTGATCCTGTGCTTGAACTCCCTACTTCTGTCAGTGTGACTTTACCAGCACTTGAATCTTGTAAATCAGGCTGAAGTACCGTGTTATTCCTATTTACTAAAGGGATGTGTTCCGTAACATCTGGCTCACACCGAACACCACAAGATTCTGCAGAATCATTGTCCAAGTTAGACAAAGATTTCCCAAAAGAATCAGAATCACGTCGTGATTTTCTTCCATTATTAATTGGAAAACAAGTCTCTGGGGAGCTCCTAGTAATCTGCTTGCCATTTGAAGAATGACAGGAAGGCCTTATATTTTTGGATTTGTCAGCACAATCACTTTGATTACTCTTTCCATATTTAAGTCTTCCATTGCATCCAAGACGATTGCAAAATTCAGCATTTTGATCTCTTTTATCAATGGTATCCCTGGAAACAAGTCTAGATCCTTTTCTGGGGACAACCACCCCAACTCTGTGTCTCTTACCAGAAAACTCATCCATCTTACTTTACTATCTACCCTTATTCCTGTATGAGCAATAACATATTGAAGCAGTCAAGACCTTCATATAGGTTTGACATCTAAATCAACATAAAACCAGCTCTCCCTTACAAGCGAAAAGAGATTATTTTCCGAAAAAAAAAAAATTGTAGTTGAACAGCATTTAGACAAGTATTAAAACAATTAATTGTGGTTTACCAATGAAAAATATAGCAGCAATTAATTCCAGCAAAGTTAAGCTTCAAATTATCGAGTAACAAGAACTAATGTACTATACAAGTAGATTCCAGATTAAATTCAGGAAGCAAGCATCTCATATAACAAACTGGGAGTAATTACGTACACTCAGAAATTCCTGTTATAATAAACACGAGAAGTCATATTCAATAGAAGGGAAAACAGAATAATAAGCGTGACCCATCTTCAAGAGGGAAGCAACATTGAAACAAAAAAGACAGGCAGAAATGCCAGTGGAGGGAAAAATCCACATAGTATTTTTGCCCAAGAAATCAGCTCAGTCAATGATTTATTGTAGGTCACATAACATTCTTCGGTATTCATATGCACCTAGAGGAAAGTTCTAGATAAAGACCCCAATCAGACATGAAATGATAATTATCATTAATTAGCTAAATTCTTTTCCTACATTAATAACAATCAAATTACCATAAAGGAGCAGGAAAACTCAACTCATAAACTGCATCCTAGCTGTGGTTTTACTGCCTAATAACTATGGGGAGGGAAGGCCATTCCACATCACTAGGATCAGATAGTAGGGCACAGCATGTAAATGAGGTACGTAAACAACAAGGTAATCCATCTTCCATTAAGGTAAGCCAGAGTTCAGGTACCATAAAGGCTCACTGGAGATCTGTCCTTACTATGGCAACAGGCACAGATTAAAACGACACAGCAACTAACAGTACTTACATACAAAACGCAAGAGCTCCTCCAAACTTATTGAAGAGCTTAAACACAAGAAATTCCTGTAGAACACACAGATATGGAAATCATACAGCAACCTTCAATTTCCTCGTACAAATAGATACATGCAGTTTCTGGAAAAAGAGAGTTGCAGTCAAATATCAGATAATACACAAACAAAAGTGGCTTATTACAGAATACCACCATTATGATTAATGATCATATGATTATAGACACTCAAATACAAAAGCAAGTCATATAAGAATCAGCATACCACAAATACTGTTCAATAGAATGACGAAACCAGTAAAGGACAGGAATAAAAACGAAAAGAAAAAAAAAATTGAAAAAAAAAAAGGATGGTCAAAGGACAAACTTTCCGCAAAATATGGCATCAAAAGCTCTTGATTATAAACGGAAAAAGGTTCCCACCAATTTACTCCTTAACCAAAGCAAATAAAATTGGCTTCTCCAAAATCATCCTATAACCAACTTATTCGACAGAAAACCAAGAAACCCACATATATTGCATAAAAACATCAACCATCAAATAACAATCAAGACAAAAACCAAACAAAAAAATTCAAACAAACGAAAAATTCATATCTTCATAGGCCAATCTGCAAGTAAACATTACAAACAAATCAATTAACAGAACTAGCTCATAACGATCAATCCATTCCGACTTTATTTGGTGGAAAAGAATAAATTAACAATATCGACTAAGGACTAGATTCTGTTCCCCTTTTCCCGTTTTGTCATCAGAAACCCAAATACAATACAAAATTTCACATACGAACAAAGACAAACGGAGCAAACCCATATCAGAACACCCAATAAAAACCCAATTGTAGCTGCCAAAAAATGGTACCATGTCTTTACTGCTTAATCATCTGAATAAAGAATAACAAACTTTTCGTTCTCTACCTTTCTTGTTGTGATCACTGAACGCTATGGAAGGAGGAGAAGGCCTTTTTGTAGCGTTTAATTAGAGAGAAAGCAAGGGAACAAAGATAGGAAAGAAACGTGTTGAGCATGGAACGATCCGATGTCCGAGGCTGGAGGAAGGCTACTACTACTTCTAACAAGAGAACGAGAAGAAAGAAGTCGTAGTTATAGTATGAGTTAATTGTAATATACCCCTCGAAATATCACAGGCTTGTATTTTATGCCACGAAATCTTAATTCTATACGTATTATGTAAAAGCAATATGACACTTGGTTCAATTGGCAAGGCTAATAGAAGCTCGGATTCAAATTTCACTTCCAATAGTCACTTATTGGTAAGCAATCAAGTAGAAAACAATCAAGAAGAACTTTATTAGTCACTAAAATGCATCAAGTGCTGCCCTGACCTTGGAATCAAACAACCTTCCATCCATCTTAAACAATTACATAAAACAAAAACAAAAAAAAATGTTTGACAAATTTTTGAAGCTTAAAATTTTTGTATTTTTTTTACTTTTCATTTGCAAGATTTAATTTAAGACATTATTAATTTAAAATTTTTGTTGGAAAAGTTGGTAAAACTAGTGTCTTAATTTGAAGTTTTGATTACTTAAAAAAAGAAATCTTGTTGATCAAAGGTGACACATAATTAAGATGGACAAAATAGCATTTAGTACCACATACCACTATTTTTGACAAATTGTTCAAGTCAAATACTTTCATGTTGAAAAGTTTGCTTACCCCTAAATGAATGGAAAATTATAGTAGACAAATCTAGTTGATAGGTACTAAAGTCATTCTCTTATTTTTTTTCTAGCTGATATTAAGAAATGGGATTTGATTCATTTACTGTGGATTCTCTTTTCATTTTTTACAATACACATATAAATGTATGACATGTATCTTCATTTATTAGGATGGGACATGATCATTTTAAATTTAACTAATCCTAACCTCTGTCAATAAATAAAAACACGTGTTATACATCCACCAAATATGCACTGCAAGAAATGGAGAGAGAATCCATTGGAAAGGAGCCAAATTCCTTGAGTAATTTACCATAAATAATAAATTGTTAAAGATAAAAAACCGAGGTAAGATAATTGGTATTTAGGATTACATACAGAAAATAATTGACTTTAAAGGGGGGCGTAGTGCAATTATGAACTCTAATAAGTAGCAATAACTAAAGTGGGAGATGGAGCCAAGCAACCAAAATCATATCCTTAGGGACCTTAACTAAAGCAATAACTAAATAGCCATCCTGCCATTGAGTCTCCCTGGAATAGATGTTGGCCGTTAGGTTAGTTTGACTTAGGATGGGTCAAAGATCTACGGCTACCGGAGGTCTAAAAGATTAATGTCAAGCTAATTTCAATCCGTAGGGGCCCACGAATATATGAAACCTCAAAGGACTACTACCACTTGGTTGAATTTGGACCCGATGGCCCATCACTAAACTGAAAGGAAACATTCGGCCGCCTTTTAAGCTCTACTAACTATTGCAACTGTCGACCTCTCTTGTTTTCTTGGATTTAATAATGTTGAGCAATATCCACACTTTTTTTGTACTTTTTTCAGGTTCCACAATAATTCTTAAATTGGAAATAAAATGTGATAAGACTTGCACTACAGCTAAAAGGCATTTAAATGGTTGCTATTTCTCATTTTTGCACTTGAAGATTCCTAATAAAAAAGTTCGACAAATATGTTTCTCAGCAACACTGTTTTATTAGCATTTTTTGTTTATAAGTGTGCTTGTAGGGGCAAAAGAAAAAAGTGTGTTTGTAGGGAATTGGAATGAAGTAAATTATAAATCCATGAGCTTTTTGAGTTTTGAATAATTTCCTCTGTTTCTTGGAGCCTTGGAGCTATGTCGACTCTACATTGTTCCCCTTGGTAAAATTTCAAGTAACCATAAAAGAATTTCTCTTTCAGATTAGTCTTTTCAACACTATGTATAATATATGCACTAACAGTACTAGACATACGCTACATGTGCAAAGTTTGAAGTTGAAACTAAAATTAAAATTAGTTGTCATGTCCAAGGTGGGAGAAGGATATTGAGGACAGGAATCGTCCATTGACCGATGAAGAGTTGGATGCTATGTTTCCCCAGGAGGGCTACAAAATTTTGGAGCCCCCAGCTTCCTATGTCCCAATTAGAACTCCTGCTAGGAAGCTTCTTGCCACCCCAACGCCAATTGGCACACCTCTGTATAATATCCCTGAAGAAAATCGAGGTCAGCAGTTTGATGTGCCGAAAGAGATGCCTGGTGGACTGCCTTTCATGAAGCCTGAAGACTATCAATATTTTGTGCACTGTTGAATGAAGAAAACGAAGAGGAATTGTCTCTGGAAGAGCAGAAAGAACGAAAGATAATGAAACTGCTGCTCAAGGTTAAGAATGGCACGCCACCTCAGAGGAAAACAGCTCTGCGGCAGTTAACTGATAAGGCCAGAGAGTTTGGTGCTGGGCCACTGTTCAATCGGATTCTTCCGTTGCTCATGCAACCGACATTGGAGGACCAAGAAAGACATTTACTGGTGAAGGTCATTGATAGGGTGCTTTACAAATTGGATGAGTTGGTGCGTCCATATGTGCACAAAATTCTTGTGGTGATCGAGCGTTGCTGATTGATGAGGATTATTATGCCCGTGTAGAAGGTAGGGAAATTATCTCCAATCTCAGCAAGGCTGCTGGGTTGGCAACTATGATTGCTGCAATGCGCCCTGATATTGACAATATCGATGAGTATGTAAGAAACACTACTGCAAGAGCATTCAGTGTTGTTGCCTCTGCACTTGGAATTCCTGCTTTGTTACCTTTTCTGAAGGCAGTGTGTCAGAGTAAGAAGTCTTGGCAAGCCCGTCACACAGGTATCAAAATTGTTCAGCAGATTGCTATTTTGATTGGTTGTGCTGTTCTTCCACACTTGAGGTCTCTTGTAGAAATCATAGAACATGGTCTTAATGATGAGAATCAGAAGGTTAGAACTATCACAGCTCTTTCCCTTGCTGCTCTTGCTGAGGCAGCTGCCCCATATGGTATTGAGAGCTTCGATTCAGTGTTGAAGCCTCTCTGGAAGGGTATTAGATCTCACCGAGGGAAGGTTTTGGCAGCCTTTTTGAAAGCCATCGGTTTCATCATCCCTCTCATGGATGCTATATATGCTAGTTACTATACCAAGGAAGTGATGCATATACTGATCCGTGAGTTTCAGTCGCCTGATGAAGAAATGAAGAAAATTGTTTTAAAAGTTGTGAAGCAGTGTGTGAGCACTGAAGGTGTTGAGCCAGACTACATCAGGAATGACATTCTCCCTGAGTTCTTCCGCAACTTCTGGGTGAGAAGAATGGCTTTGGACCGCAGAAATTACAGGCAACTTGTTGATACTACTGTTGAGATAGCAAACAAAGTTGGGGTTGCTGATATAGTGGGTAGGATTGTTGAAGATCTCAAGGATGAGAGTGAGCCTTATAGGAGGATGGTCATGGAGACAATTGAAAAGGTGGTTGCAAATCTGGGCGCGTCTGATATTGATGCTCGCTTAGAAGAGCTGTTGATTGATGGGATTCTCTACGCATTCCAAGAGCAAACCAGTGATGATGCAAATGTGATGTTGAATGGTTTTGGAGCTGTTGTTAATGCTCTTGGGCAGAGAGTGAAGCCTTACCTTCCGCAAATATGTGGGACTATTAAATGGCGTTTAAATAATAAGAGTGCAAAGGTCAGACAACAAGCTGCAGATCTTATATCAAGGATTGCTGTGGTGATGAAGCAGTGTGGAGAAGAACAACTGATGGGCCATCTTGGTGTCGTTTTGTATGAGTATTTGGGGGAAGAGTACCCAGAAGTTCTGGGATCAATATTGGGTGCTCTGAAAGCTATTGTTAATGTCATTGGTATGACTAAAATGACTCCTCCAATAAAGGATTTACTTCCTCGCTTGACTCCAATTTTGAAAAATCGTCATGAGAAAGTCCAGGAGAACTGCATTGATCTTGTTGGTCGAATTGCTGACCGTGGAGCAGAATTTGTTCCTGCCAGAGAATGGATGAGGATTTGTTTTGAGCTTCTTGAGATGCTCAAAGCCCACAAAAAGGGTATTCGTCGAGCAACAGTCAACACTTTTGGGTATATTGCAAAAGCTATTGGTCCACAAGACGTCCTTGCAACACTGTTGAATAATCTCAAAGTTCAGGAACGTCAGAACCGTGTCTGCACAACTGTCGCAATTGCTATAGTTGCTGAAACTTGTTCTCCCTTTACAGTTTTACCTGCGCTGATGAATGAATATCGTGTACCTGAGCTTAATGTTCAGAATGGTGTTCTGAAGTCCTTGTCTTCCTCTTTGAGTATATTGGTGAAATGGGTAAAGACTATATCTATGCAGTTACTCCATTGCTGGAGGATGCTCTCATGGATAGAGACTTGGTCCACCGGCAAACTGCTGCTTCAGCAGTGAAGCACATGGCTTTAGGAGTTGCTGGACTTGGGTGTGAGGATGCTTTGATTCATTTAATGAATTATGTCTGGCCAAATATTTTTGAGACATCACCACATGTTATTAATGCGGTTATGGAAGCCATTGAAGGAATGAGGGTGGCTCTTGGAGCAGCAATCGTCCTTAATTACTGTCTTCAGGGGCTATTTCATCCAGCAAGGAAGGTGAGAGAGGTGTACTGGAAAATCTACAATTCACTGTATATTGGTGCTCAGGATGCCCTTGTGGCTGCTTATCCGATGCTGGATGATGAAGAAAACAATGTATACAGTAGGCCTGAGTTGGTGATGTTTGTATGAGGCTGGATCGTGTTTTAGATGAAGCTAGGGAAGGTCCAGTGGTTTAAAATATGTAAGAGTGGCTAGCTGTTGCTTTTCGAGCTGCTGCTGGTTTTCTTTATATGCTCTAATAAGAGTTGTCTTGCGTTCTTGTAATTCTCTTGAATTCAGCAGTTAGATTTGAAAAAAATGTTCGTTGAGACTTCAACTATTAGAATGCTTAATCTGTTCTTGTGTGTTTTAATGGTGCGAATTTTCTTTTTACCTAGCATAAATTTGTACTGCTGTTTTTTCTTGCCGACTTCTGCTAATGATGCACATGCTGCCGTAGACTGTTTCTATTTTTTTTTTTTTTATATACTTTGTTTCCCTGTTTTCAGCTTTCGGTACGTACTAGGAGGAAAACATTGCACGATGCGCGTGTAATTGTTAGGCTCGATAAAAAATGCCAGTTATTCAAATTTAAATATTAAGTATGAAAAGTTACATAAAGTACGTAATATCTTTGCGATTTTGTAATTTATTAAGCAATGAAAATAAGTAATTTGTTAAGAAAATGCAAGACAATATAATAAAATTACTGAGATCATTATGATGTTCCTTGTTTCTACATACAATGTAAGATGTTCCTTGTTTGTGCGTAAAATGTGAGATGCAACATGTTTTTGCATACAATGAAATAGAACAAACAAAAAAAGACAGATATAATTGGGGAGGCGGACAAAGTCCTGAACGAGATCTAAAATTGATACGAAGTTGAGACCGAAACATAGTTCAGCCTCTGCCACAAAAGTTGCCTAAGGAATAACCACACACAGATGTACACAATTCGTAGATATAGCAATAATCCTTTCAAAAAGTTTCTAAGCAATCTGTCAAATCTAGAATGGCAAATCAAGAAGGCAAAAAGTATCAAGTTCGAGTTGTACAAAAGTTGAATAGTATGAATTCAGCTTTAATCTTGTTTTCCTTGGTGGAGTAGCTGTCCATATTTTAAGAGTCATCTCCTTCCACATTATCTGCACATCGAACTTTTTAGCGAGTCAAAAGCAAACTTTTGAAGAACCATTGGCTTCTGCTGCAGTCACGAGTTTTCCTGCAATTTGCTTGCTAGAAAAGACAAATGTGTATTACAAGTTCAATTGAGTGTTCATGTACTTGGAGTCGTGCTCCATAATCTTAGGCTTGATGCTAAGTGACAGTCAATTTTTTAACAAAAAGTTACCGTTTCATGTCAAAGTAAATCATATCCACTCTCCAAGTGTATAATACTAATTCAAAATTGCAAACTGACATTCAAGGTTCTATTTGTTGTGTACTTGGGAGTAACTGGAGTAATTTAATCTTAGAAACCTCATTAACTCTGGCCACAATCCAATAGCTAATATTTCCCCAACTGCTTAGTTGGTAACATTTGCTCATAGAGCAGAAATTATTGTATATGAAGACAAAAATAAAGGGAATGCTGCCATTGCCAAGCAGGCAATGCAGATTTACTTTTATTTAAAAGCTTAATATTGCTCAAAGCAGCTGTTGTTGCAGATACAAGCCTCTTCACATGGCAATGTCCAATCAGCAGGCATTTAATGGAGTACAAAAGCAACAAAATGTTTGTTAATATGCTAATGCTTTGTAATTTTTAACTTAATTGTTTACCTTAAAAGATAAGCAGCTGAACAGTACATGTATTACATGGCAGGTTAGAATATATCAGGAATTGTAGTTGATTACACATCCATTTAGACTGGACTTTTTGCATGATATCTGGCAAAAAAAAAAATAAAAAAAATACTGATTTATCAACTATCCCTTTACCTAGTCTTTGATGCTCAAACTAAACGGCAACTAATAGTCAAATGGCACGATTAATTGCATGAAACTTTGATTTTTACCTAGCTATATTTCAGTTTCATGAACTTATTTTGGTCTACAAGTTTTCTGATGATTTCATATTGGAACAACATAGCTACACCCAAAACGAAATTCCTAAAAGTTCAACTCCCAAAATTTACATCTAAGCATAAAGTAACAAATTATATTCAAAACAGTAAAAAAAAAAAGCTAGCAAGATAAGAAAATAATGCTAGAAAAACTAACCTATATGTAGGAGGAGCAACTGACGGCAGAACTGAAGCACAGCTAAAATTCCCAAAACAAAATGATGCTGCAAAAGTTATTGACGTTTAAGATATGAGTTCAAAGTTTTAGAAAAGGTAATAAAATTTGAAAGTTGTTTTAAAAAAAATGTTGACATTGGTACTCTTGAGAACATATAATGTTAGTTCAGACCTCACTATAAGTTGTTAGTGTTACAGAATCAATACCACTTTATACCACTTCAAAATTATTTCCTCACAACCATTATTGCATCTGCAATTTTATTCTTTGTATACCAGTGAAAAATACAAAGGCAGAGACATGAATAAGAACCAAGAAATTGACGATTTCAGTTATTTGGAAAAACCCAAGCAACAACTAAACAGGAGTTGAAAATTTGAGCATTCATTGTCAAGAAACCATCAAAAATTCCTTGCCTTCTAATAAGACCATTCTCAACAAATCTATGATGTGTGACAGACTTATACAGTATCAATGTTAGCTGAATTCCACAAATTTTTTGAAATTGCTAGCTTTATAAGTATTTAAACATCCTAACAACATAGAGCTCTAATCAAAGATACCCACAAAAGAAACTAAAGTGCATTCAACATCACTAACCTTCTTCCATTTCTACATCCTCAGCCTTATGAAACCAGCATATAACCAAAATCATCACTTTACTCAATCAATTTACATGGGTTTTACAGTAAGACCAGGGACATAGAGAAACTTAGCAGAACAAATCATCATAGATAAACTTAGTAGAACAACCAATGGGCACTGACAAAGAGAGAAACAAGAAGAAAGCAAATAATAAGCAAGTGTAAAGTGAAAGGCAATCATCAAAGATATTCATCTTAAAAATTGGTCTTAAATTTTGTATCAGCGTTGCTCCTCTTTAATATTCATAGAAATTACATGAATTACTGAATTTTTTGCTACTACTTGTTTAATCAAACCTTTGATATCTATTCTATTCCCATTAAAAAAATATTGATCCAAATCCAACAAAGTAGGCCCCAAGATGGAATTTCACCCACATGGCCAAAAAATGTTGCCCAAAAAGTACTGCAGAAAGACAAAAAATGTCAAAATCATTACCAACTAACTAAAACAATTTAAGAGAAATAGCCAATCCATACCCTTTTACTCTGAATTTCTTGATTGTAAAGAGTTGTTGGCAATATCAAAAGGAAATAAAACTTTCCAAGAATATGAAAAAACAAGTTAAACTATTTCACCTAATGAACAAATCATAAGTTCCGATGCAAGGGTAAACCATAGAAAAAAAGGAAGAAACTTTTGAGAGCTAAAAAAAAGAGATTATATGAACAATCATGAAAAAATGCTTCATTTCTCTAATTCTTAAAAATCCATGGAACCAAAAAGAATGCTTTTGTAAGCTACGAATTCAACAAACAATTTTGGAAGAAAACACACGAAATGGTTAAAAAGAAAAACCTGCCATTAGTTGCTATTTTTCCTTCTTTTTTCCAAAGCTTCTCTAACCTTTTATGTTTTTTCCCCTTCTTTTTTAATTTCATATTTTTTCCTTCTCTAGCCTATTTTTTTTCTTTCTCAAGGTCCTGGCCAAATTTCATCTAACCATCAAGTACAAACCTTACCATACACCACCAAAAGGACAGGGACAAATATTAAAACTATCGGTTTTAAAAGTTTTGTTGAAAAAAGATTATTTTCGAAGTTTCTAATCTCCTTTTCAATGATTCACATGAACCAAAACCATATGAGAAGGAAAAGAGAACACAGGAATGGAATGGCAGTATGTGTGTGGAAATCAACTGCTAAGCATCATCAGCTAATCAAAGAAATGGAGCACTAATAATCTAGAGACAAACCTTGGTAGAAAAGCCCCTCAATCAAGTCCTTTAGTAGGGGATTCATCCTATTAGGGATATATAAGGGGTTATTAACAATCTGCGAAAAGTGCATATCTCCAATTACAAATGACTATAGAAACCAGTAAATGAACAAGGCACAAAAAGAATAACAAGCATTCCTGTTCTTTACAGGACATTTTTACGTGAGGAGGTAGTGGGAATACATTATCATGTGTATGAACCCAACTACCAACATGTCAGCAACTTTGGTATGATAGGTTGAACCTAATTATACCCAAAATCATGATCAGACATTCTGGAAATTCTTCAACAACCACACAACAAAAACCTTTTTCAAATTCTGTCTTTCTGGTGATAACTGGGCATGATATACAAGATAAAAAAGCTACCGTCAATTTAGTGAGACAGAGCTCTTATAGAGAGGAATATACAAACATCCAGATGTCAGTGTGCAAGCATATAAACATAGTTCTTCTACCAAGTAAGGATAAACTGCAGTTCATTACCTTAACAACCTGATTAACACTAAAATCACCAATCTTCACAATCCCAGAAGCAGCTACCAAGATATTATCAGTTGTCATATCACCATGCACTACACTCTGTGAAAATTGGAAAGAAATTAGTGCAAAATATTAGATCATTTTAATGTTAAGCAAATGATATAGAAGACAAAAGCTTAGGTTAAGTTGAATACGCAAGACGTCATAGGAGAAAACAAATGGTCATTATCTTCAACAAATTATAGGCACATAAGTAGGTGAAATAAATTACAAGAGCACTCAAGTTTTGAGACTTTAATCTTACCAGAGTCTTAGATGAAGGTAAGAATACCATAAATTATCTACAACAGAACAACATCATGGAAAAAAAATTTCCTAAATGATTCAACTTGCAAAATTATTTGAGGTAAGCTATAAGCTTAAGTAGCAGTCCGTCAAAGGGGAAGAGCTTCTATTGCCTTATGGACAATGCAATAATTAAGGAGAATACAGACTGTAAAACCATGTAAAACCCACAATTGGCAAAGTTAGTCTTAACACAAGCTCGGATACTACCGAATAATAATAAATTTTTGTGATTATTTCTCTAACAGACCTTAATCGGGAAGCAACAATATGCATTGGCAAGTAGAAGACAAAAATGGAAATCCTATCCCTTACAATGCTTGGTAGTGAACAAAACTGAAATATGATCATCAACTATCACTAAGAAGCTCTATTTTGGATGGCTTCGAGCTCAAAACTACCACAAAGAAGATTAGCATCTACTTCATGCACAA